CCTAAATAGGGTTTATTGTACCAGTTCCTTATGCTTTTTAAGTTTTTAGTTTTGTAGTACTAGGGGTTGAACCCAGGGCCTTCTACATCTTAGGCAAGTGTTTTACCATTAAGCTACATCCCAAGCCCTTTTAATTTTTAAATTTTAAGACAGAATCTCACTAGTTGCCCAGGCTGAGCTTGAACTTATGATTTTCTTGCCTTAGTCTCCCACGTAGCTGGGATTTCAGGGGTTTAACGCTGTTCCCAGCTGTACTTCAGTTTTTGTTGTGTAAAATCAGTCATGAAAGTTCCAAGAAAACTCTTTGAACTCCAAGAAGAGTATAATCTCATCATTTTACGAAAGACTACAAAATAGTTTGAAAAACAACAAATAACTCTGTGTTCCTGTGGGTCAGGAATTTGGGAGCAGCTTAGCTGGGTGGACTTGACTCAAGGTTTCTTGTGAAGTTGCAGGCAATGTTATCAGTTTGTCTAGGGCTGGAGGGTTTGCTTCTAAGATTGCTCACTCACCTGGCTGCTTGCAGACCTCAATGCTTTATCACATGGGCCCCTCCACAGGGCTGAGATCCTCATGATGTGACAACCCAGGAAGAGTGACCCAAGATCAAGCACAGAGGAACTGTGCTGCCTTTTATGACTTAGCCTCAGAAGGCATACATACGCGCGCGCGCGCGCACACACACACACATACACACTTATACCCACGCACCCCATCACTTTATTCTATCCATTAGGAGCAAACAGAGTCCATCCAAAATGCAAGAGAAGAGGAATCAGGTTTCATCTTTGGAAATGTCAGGAAATTCAGAGCAGAGGCAAGGGCTACCCACTGAAGGGCAGACTCTCACTGACCGAAATTATCAACCTTCACAATAACTACTATATCTTTTCAGACTAATAACACAAGGCAGCATATGTTATGCACCACCTGAGTGGGTGTTAGCGGTCAACCCAAGAAGGAATGAAAAACCAGCTTTTTTGTTTGTTTGTTTGTTTTTCTGGTACCGGGAATTGAACTCATGACCTTGCACTTGCCAGGCAGGCACTGTGCCGCTGAGCTAAACCCCCAGCCCCTGAAAAACCAGTTTTCTTATGCAATTAGGAAAGGCTGTACAAAGACAGATGTGTATAGGTCTGTTTCTTGTTACTTCATGAAATAGCTGACACAGGTGCTATTTACGAAGAGTATGTTTAATTTAGTTACAGATTCAGAGGTTCAAAATCTACATGTGCAGCAAGGCTTGAGGGAGAGTGTTTCTGTTACAGTTTGTGCCTAGATGTCCCCCCAAAGCCTCATGCAATCATGGGGCAGGCTTCCAGAGTTTACGATTGATTTATGGTCCAATGCTGGGATTATGGGTGTGAGTGCTACATCCACCCTAGGGTGGGTAGACTGCCTACACTATAAGGGAGGGAAAGAGGCTTGCTCTCTCACTCCTCCCTTTTTTGCTTTTGTTGCTTTTGCTGTCTTCTGCCCCCACGAACTGTTGCCCTCTGCCATGTGCCACTGTGCCTTGGAACCAGCCAAGTATTGACTGAAACCTCCACATATGGTAAGCTACATAAACCTTTCCTCCCTTAATTCTAGGCATCAGGTATTTTGTCTCGACAATAAGAGAATAGTAACTGAGACAGCTTCCCTTGCACATCATCTTCTGGGACACATAGTAGCAATTATATCTTCAACCAAGAGCAGAGACGAGGGCTACCAGTTGAAGGGCAGACCCTCACTGACCAAAATTAATTCTTTTAGGCCTGATTTCTTAGATAATCTACTTCCCAATAGTGCCACATGGGGAGCAAGCCTTTAACACGATACTTGGTGAAGACCCAGTTAGATCAGCTCCGCATCAGAGCAAGATAACTCTTGAACTGAGTAGTAAAGAATGGTAAGTCTAGAGAACTAGAGAGCTAGGCAAACACTCCAGTTAATATAAACAGTGTGAGTAAGGTCAAGGCAGGCAACCTTTGAAATTTCCCCTTTGTAACAATTGATTAGATTATGGACTACTCTTCTGTCCTCACTTTTTCCAAATTGTTTTTTTTGTTGTTGTTGTTGTTTTTGTTTTTTTCCGGTACCAGGAATCAAACTCATGATCTTGCGCTTGCCAGGCAGGCACTGTGCCGCTGAGCTACATCCCCAGCCCCTCCAAATTTGTTTTTATATTTCTACTTTGCCACTATACATTAGGAGTTTGGGTGGAGAGAGGAATATTATATAGACCACAGGACCAGAATAGTTGTGTCTATGGAACTGCACATCTCCAGATTGCAGACTCTGAGCTGGATATACTAACTGCTTGGGACCCTGTCCCCTGCACCCTTGGAAGAGAGTATGTTCTATGTCATAAGAGTGTACATGGATATTTGGGTGGCCATGTAAGTGGATTATGACAGAACTGTCCGCCAAAGTTCATTCACACTGTATTAGGATACTCAAGGAACAGACTCAATGGAGAATAAATGTATAATTATGCAAGGGGATTTATTAGATAGGCTTCATGACCAGAGGTGGGACAGTCTGCAATGGACGTCTGTGGAATCAGGGGTGGAAGAATCCACAATGGCCATCTGTATACTGTAGAACTGGAGTATCCAGCAGCTGTTAACTCAGAAGATGGAAGCCTCAGAACAAGAGGAATCAGGATGCAGCAATGGTCCAAGGCTGAAGGCCCGGCAGCTCACTGTGGTCACCAGTGTAAACCTGTGTTGGAAGGCTGAAGAAACTGGAGAGCAATGTCCAACGGTGATGGCAAAGACTGGGGCTCTTCAGAAACTGGCATACTTCCTCTTCCTTTTTTTAAAGTTCTGTCCCAGGTACAAGCCTTTTGGTTGGTGCCATCTACGTGTCTTCCACAGACACACCAGAACTGTGCTTTACTAATCTGTTAGGCATTTATTAATCCATCCAATTAGGTGCATAATGACAAATGATCACACATATCTTTTTCATTAACAGAACTTCCAAACTGCTAATTGCTCAGCTACAGAACTTCATTGTCCAGTTAGATGTGGCTATGTCTCTAATTAGGTAAAGGGAAAGAGTCAAAATGACATGTGCCACTTCTGGGACACTCTTCAAAGCATTGAGATGTGACCTCTTTTCTCTCTGCCTTTTTGCTGGGCTAAGATACAGATGAGATGGCAGGTGCTAGAGTGCCCCAAGGAGCTAGGACAGAGATCATGTATGAAGACGGTAGAGTTCCCCTACTTGTCCTGGACCTTCTACCTCTGAATCATTAAATGAGAGAAAAAAAAACAGAACAAGAAAACTAGAATCTGCCAAAAAAGTATACACATTCCAGCAGTTTGCCATAATAATAAATGCCTGGAAGCTAACTGGCCACCACTTCGAGCACCTCTTGTAATTGTAGAGGCCAAAGGTAACATATTAATTTTATGTCTCAATAAACTTAATATTAAAACATATGTACAAGTTTTTTTTTTCCTGATGCACACATTTTTGGGGTGGATTCTGTGTATTGTTTTAGGTAAGGGATCTTTGGGTCTCTGTCTGAATCTGTATCCCATCTAGAACCTAAGATTAGTTTTGGATTAGAACTTTTAATTATTTCTGGATAAGGCAGAGCCATTCTTGAAGCAATGGAAAGGTTTTGCTAACTTAATTCAGAAAATTGGTTCACATTGTTGTCTTGGATGCGTGTTTTTGGATTTTAGACCTTGACTGTTGAACATCTAGTTTGGCTTCTTGGATTCTAACTCCTGGCATAAAATAACTGTTTCTTCAGTACTGTTTGTTTCAGAAACAGTTGTGTTTCAAAAAATACACAAAAGCTAAGGAAGAATAATCACTGGACAGAAGTAATACCGTTGATATTTTGGTATGTGCCCTTCTAGATTTTGATATGCATATTTATACTTTTAAATTTTTTTATCAAAAGTGAAGTCATCTGCCTACTACTAATAACCAGATTATTTCATAGTATTTCCCTGTGTCATTAAATAATTGCCCCATCATTTTACAAAAAAAAAAAATTGGTTCAAGTAAACCCAACATATAACCACTGAACACTTAAATGTGACAGAATTCCTCTCCTCCCAAATGCTTATCAGTGACCAAGTCATTCAAAGCCCAGAAGGGACACGGTGAGGTATTTTCAGCAAAGGGCTTATAGAACCTGCGTGGTATAATTTCACAGCAAAAATAAATCAATAGAAAAAACTGAGGCACAGTGTGGCCCAGGGGAAATCTGGAGTACAAAGTAGACAGCTTAATCTGTTTAATGCTGTATGTCTGGCAACTTTCTATACAGTAAGCTAATCTTTCTCTTCTTGTATTACAGCCTCACACGAACACAGGTGGTAACTCAACCCATGTGGCTTGGCTGGATCAAAGCTTCTCATTTCTGTGGGCAGGAATCTGAAGTTCCTTCCTCATGAGTCAACCCGCCCATTTTGGCAGGTTATTTGTGTTAAACAAAAATTTTACACGTGGAACTCCCAAATTGCTCATCTGGCTCCAGCCACCTTGTATTTAGGTTGAAAATTTGTCACACGAACAGATGTTATCTCCTGTGATTTCAAAAACAAGAAGGATCTAATAGCACCACTAGCTTCATCTAGACTATGAGTGTTTGTAAGGTTAGTTCTACTTTATGGCCTGTAAAATGGGGATTGAGAATATATTTATAAACTAAGAATGAAGGTGCACACATGTAATCCCAGTACTCGGAGGCTGAGACAAGAGGATGGCAAGTTCATGGCCAGACTGGAAAATTTAGCAAGGTTTTTTTTTTTGTGAAAAACAAAACAAAAACAAAAACAAAAAACAAAAAACAAAAACAAAAAAAACAAGTCTGGAGACAAGCTCAGCGCGAAGGCTCTGAAAAATGCATGTATTACATATATGCATAGTACATATATAACTATACACACACACAAAAACATAGTTACGTTGAATACACCATTCTTACTCTGTGCCTTGTTTGCACTTTGGATCAACAGGAAGCTGTTACTCGTCACTACAATGGCTCATTGCAAATGGACACACACTCTTAGTGGTCCGGAAGGAAGTTCCTCTTATATCTTACTGGGCATAAGGAACAACCGCTAAGGAGGTGGTCACCGGGAGAAACTTTAACCCAAGCATGCCACCTTGCTAAGCGTGACCATTTTTTGGCCCCTACCGCTTTACGTACTTTGGGCGGGAATGAGGACACACGTTCTCTACCTGAGAACTTTGTCCCTCAGCAGAGGAAGAACTGACCGGCCAGAGCACCCTGGGGGTAAGAACACGCCCCACTGACAGCCGGCGCGCAGCCTTAGGCAACCTCGGTTCCGGGGACAGCGGCTCCTCCAGCGCCCGCCCGCCTGGAGCCAGCCTCTTCACCCTGCGCCCCGCCGCCCGACCCGGACGCCCCTCGGCCGGCGCCCGCCCATGCTTTCGGGGTTCAGGAGGGCTCGCCAGCTACTGCACGGCCTCTTTCCCGGCTCGAGGATGGGTGACTCCGCCTCCATGCTTGTCAGCCCTCAGGAGGCCCTGCCCGGCCGCAAGGAGTCGATTCCCGTAGCCGGTAAGGACAGACAGGCGCCCGGACAGTCCGGGCGTCGCTGTTGCTGCGCATGCGTGCCGGGGCCGGCGTTGTGCGTCCCTCACTGTCGGAAGGGAAGCCAGGCCAGATTCGGGCGGGTCCTAGATCTGCTCTGCGCAGGCGCGCGCGCGGGGGGTGGGGGTGGGGAGCAGATGTCAGATGCTGGTTTGCGCACGCGTGCGGGCCTGTGTGGTCTTTGCGGTCTTGGACTGCAGCCCGAGCCCCATTTTTTGTTAACCTTTTCGCCCCCTCAAGCAGAACTGAGCACTATGAAAAAATCTGGTGTGTCCGTTTAACTCTCCTGGAGTGCGGTAATTGGCGGCACCGCGATCTAGGTAGAAAGGCGTGGTGGAGGGACGCCCTCCCCCGCCTTGGGTGTGCCGGGAAGCCTGGGGCTCTGCCTTTTCAGTGTTGGGGTCCTAAGCCTCAAGCAAGGATGGTGCTGTGTGTTGTCTCGAGAAGCGTTGGAATGAGACCTAACCGTGCAAACTTCAGTTTTGAAATTGCATCTCAGGCCTGTGTTCTGGAGGCAAAAATTAACCCCAATTTTCCCTTCGGGGCTGCCGGCTGATGATGCCTTTGGGAGAAGCTGCCCCTGGTCCTTCTACTGCTCTGGCTGGTCTGGTGGTCAGTTATTTTGGGGTGTCATTTTAGAGCGGTACTTTTCAAACATTCCATTCATTCCCCGGTCAATACTTAAATACGACAAAAGGGAGATACTAGGAAAATGATCACAAGCTTGAATGCTCACTAATGTTAACTAGCTGTAAAAATTTTTAAAAGTTTACTTTGAGTTTCTGTCACCTACATATGGCTCGCCAAGTGCCAGTGTTACTGTATGTACTGAGCTTGTAGTCTCACAGCACCAAGGGCTGAAGTCTCCAAAAGGAGAAAGTTAAAGATTTTATTGGAAATAAGGAGAATAGCTCCTGGATTTCCAGGAGGGGTCCTGAGTGAGTGCCCACATGGCCTCTCAATCATAGCTTGTTATACATAGGCAGAGCACAGGGATTGCTCTATTGTTTAGTGGCTACTTGCCACAGGTGGCTCTGTGGAATTAAAATGACCAGTTGGAGCTCAGGCTGCGCCAGTTCTTCAATATGTAGGGTTTAAAAGAAGCTAGAACTTAAGAGAAAAATCCTGGTGGTTTTGTATGTTAAGTTCCTCAGAACTCAGGAGCTTAGTAGGGAGTGGTTACATCCTCCTTTAGTAGGGAGGAGGTGCTGCATTCCATTTTGCGGGAGAAAGTTCATCCTTGCGAGAAAGTTCATTCTGGGTCAGAAGTTCTAGTTTACTATCTATTCTTATTTTCATTCTTGTCACTGTGGCTGGTGGTGCAACTGTCTTAGCAACTACCCCACCCCAGCTAGATGCCTTACTCATAAGCTGATTAAATAAACTTTTTTATACCAGGACCATACTTGGAGTAACAAGTTGAGCATCCCTAATTTGAAAATCTGAAATGCTCCCAAATCCAGTACTTTGAGCACCACACTACATCGTAAGCAGAAAATTCCAAATTGTATGTGTCACAAAACAGGTGTGCTAACAATGTTGTACACAATAATCTATAGGCTGTGTATATATGAAACAAGTTTGGTGGTTAGACTTAGGACCATGTCCAAGATATCTCATTATGTTCATGCCGATATGCCCAAACCTGACAAAACCTGAACTCTGAAATAGCCCTGGCCCCAAGTGTTTCTAATGAAGGATACTCAACTTATATTACCTTACCATGGTGCACTGCCCTTACCTGCACGTAGGCAACGCTTTGTGGTGGTGGGGGTACGGTGGGAGTAGGGATGGGGCAGGTGGAGTCTGCACATTTGGATACTAAATCGATACTGTTATGGAGCCTGACACCTCTTTGTAAGGCAAGCCTTCGGGATTGGAACGCTTGCTGCAGTTCACCAGAAACTCCTGTAGAGCTGTTGGAGCCCTAGTGGTGTTTAATCTTTTACATGTGGCACAATGCTGAAGAAATCTTATGTTAAAATTTTTCCTAAAAATTCTTCTATTTTTCTTATCCTTAAAGAATTTTTGAGTGTGAGAGGAGGTCACTTCAGGAGTTTGTCAAATTCATATAGGAAAAATGTAACTCCTGGCCTGTTAGATGTCAAATGTATTGAGTTCGTGGTCCTACAACATTGAAGAATGGCGTAAGGAACCAAAGGAAGAAGTTAGGAGAGTTATATTTGAAACAAGGCGAGAATAGCTCCTGGATTTCGGTGGTCACTGAGGCCCTTTGTCAGGGGTAATTTATACAGCAAAGTCACAATGTGGGTACAACTTGTGTCAAACTACCATCAATCTATAGGATTAGAAGTAGAGCTGCATAGCTAATATTGAGCCAATAGGGAAACGAGTTACATAGTAAGTGTACAAGGAAAGAACAAAGGCATTTTGGGGAAGTGATGGGTCTATATGGTAAGGGGCTCTTGATCAACCAGCTGGGTGACTGATGCCTAGCTGGATTTACTGGACCAGGTGATCCTAATTACAATATAATCTCAAGTTACTGTTCTTTAGGGAGGCCTGCAGGCCTGGTTGTTGCATGTCTATCTTAAGGCCTGGCTTTCTTCAGATTTGCTTCCAGCCACTATTCTGATGTCTTCATTTTTTGTGCTGACTTCCTTGAGGGCCCAATCTCTCTCTGACTGCAGATTAATTTCTGTCTAACTTAGCTGCCTATAAGAGTATATTTACTACGTAGTGTGAGATTAGAAAAGGTGGAGGCCTTTGGGGTTTGCAGTGGTTTGGAAATTGTGTGACCTTTTTCTTATAACCTAATTAGCTGTTTGTGTTCCCTGTGTCCCCCTATGCTTTCATCCAGTCATTCTCAGCCCTAGAAGTTTATTTATTTTTTACTCAAATTCAGTGATTGAGTGCTGAAAAAAAAAAAAGATTATTTTAAAAAATATAAACTATATAATGGTTTATGTAAACTATAAACATATCTTTAGAAATTCTCTTTTACAAGGCAGTATTTATAAAGCAGTGCTTTCTAAATGCTTCACTTCCTCAGCTTGGTCTGCTCCTCCTTTTTACTTACTACTACACTATCTTCACTGTGCCCTCCAGGCACCAAAGAAAGAAAGAATTCAACAATTGTTGAGCAGATCTCCAAAGCAGTTCATGATCAAGGTCAGGCCAAATTTAGCTTAGCTTTCTCCTGATCAGCATCTTCCCAAACAATTTCTCAGTATATAAAAGACATTTTTGCTAAAAGATTAACAAACCTTGTGGGACAGAGACAACAATTTCTTTTTCATATTCACATAAAACACCTCTAACTGCAAAACTTTGGGGTTTTCTGTCTTTGCACAGAGCTATGCTTGTTTTTAAGTAAAACCAAGTCTACAATACATATGTCCCTCTTGTTCAGCTGTTTTAACTTTTGCCCAAGAAGTACTTACACTAAGTAGGTAAGCCAGCAAAACCAGGAAGACGCTGAATTAGTGTTCTGAATGACCATCTTAAGCAGGTCAAGTTTCAGGCTCCTTTTCTGTTTGGGAAAGGCAGAAAGAAGCCGGGCATGGTGGTGCCTGCTTGTCATCCCATCACTCGGAGGTTGAGGCAAGAGGATTGCCACGAGTTCGAGGCCATAGTGAGTTCAAGGCCAGCCTGATCTACATGGTGAGACCCTGTCTCAAAAACAAACAATCAAAAAACCAAAAAGCAAACAAAAAAAGGAAAGGCAGAAATAATAAGGGCTTAGGTTAGGAAATGATTGATTGCACACTTCCAGGGATCTCTCCAGTCAGTGGTCTGGAACAGGATTGTTGCAAACATGGTGACTGGTAATCTGTTGATCTGGCACATAGTCACAAGGTCAGGATGCTCCTGCAAATTATGAAAGTAGCTTAATTCTTTCTTTCTTTCTTTCCTTCTTTCTTTCTTTCTTTCTGTCTGTCTGTCTGTCTGTCTGTCTTTTTGAGATAGGGTTTCACTATGAAGTTCAGGCTGGCCTTGAACTCACTTTGTAGCCCTGACTGGCCTCGAGCTTGTGGCAGTCCTCCCACCTCAGCCTCCCAAGGGCTGGGATGACAGGCGTGCACCAACACTCCCAGCTGCTTAATTATTCTGATCTTGGTATCATCAGCCATGAACAAGGGTGGAGTGAGATTAGGGAAATTTTGGATAAATCAACCTTGTACTGCTAGTTTCAGATAATCTTTAAGTGAATAATGAAGACTTTATGCTCAGAGAGGCACCAGTTTTTTTCCAGTAAAGGTAGCAGTGTGGTTAAATACAACGTAGATGTTTATATTGAAATGTCCCCCAAAGTCTCAAGTGCTTATAGATGGGGCTTCTGGGAGGTGATTGGCTCATGGGAGTGAGATATTCATCAGTTCAGATTTGTCCATTGATGAGTTTACAGCTCACTGTGATGTAAGGAGGAGGTGTGGCCTGGAAGGGTCTATCTCCCTCTCTTCTCCCTTGATCACTGCTTCCCACTGTCCTGCCGTGAGCAGCTCTTCTCTACTGAGCCCCTCTGCCATGCCCAACTGTTTTGTACACAGCCAAATATGAACTGAAACCTTTACAGACTATAAGCCAAAATGAACCTTTCCTCCTTTGACCACTTGACAGTTTACCCTAAGCATCACTCAGGGAGTGTGTTTGCTTATGTACTAACTATGTCCAGCTTTTGCTCGGGCAGGTGTCATTTCAATCAGTTGATTCTTGCATTGAATAAATTTGATAAAATTGTTTTTATATTTCCTGTTATTTTATAAATATTAATAAAAAAATTCAGCTTTTGGTCATCCTGTATTTAAGTAATTTGACTGGTAAGTGATTAATTTGGACTGGTAAGTGATTAAATTAATGTATTGGGCAATGTATCTCAGCAGAGTGACTAAGACAGTGGAGGATGTGAGGCTAAGTTTTCTTTGAACCATGAGGATGGCTACAATCAAAACCCACCCATCAGAGGTACTATCCACAGCAAAGCTACTGGAAGACTAATAATGTAT